GCGCAGCGCGCGCCCAGGGCTTGGCTTTTCTCTGTTCTCCTCTTCCTTCCTTCCCAAGCATAATGGAAATAAAAGGCGCCCACCCCAGGGCAGGTGCCGGGTGGCTGTTCCTGTTAGGGCGGGCAGAGAAGAGCTTTATCCATTATTACAATTTTTAAGGGTTGTCACAATTAGCAAAGTGCTAAGCTTCTGCCGCAGCCTGGCCGGGAGTGATGAGCCGCTGGTTCCCTGTGGTTGTGGGTTGGTTCGGGCTCTGCATTCAGTCTTCCCCGTTCCCACCCTGAGGGGCTGGGAGAGGGTGGACTCCAGGCTGCCATCACCCAGTGCTGTCCAGGCCCCTGGTCCCTGGGTGTCTAGAGGGTGTGTCCAGCTTAGGGGGCAGGGCTGTCCCACCATGTTGATGGGTGCCTCCCCACAACCAGGGGTCAGTAGAGCCTGCTCTTGCTCTTCTGGTGGCATTGGGAGTCCCCGGAAATAAGTTAGAGACCCCCACTGTCAGAGGCTTCAATTTGCCTGTGGTATCGCCTCAAAGTCAAGGTGTGCCTGGGTGCCGGCTGAACCCCGTGGACAATGCCCATTGCTCCTCTGTTTTAGAACGGAAAGAAAACACGTTTTCCTGGCAGGCAAGGACAAGAGTTTATGTCCCTATCGGAAGCAGCGTCCAGGGAAGCGGGGAAGGATGTAGGCCCACAGCCCTGGGCCGGAGGAGCACGCCGTCTGCCCCCAGGTGCGGTCAGGATGGGCCCCACGGGCAAGCAGAGCCTCTCGTCCGTGCCGGCCCCCATGGGAGGGTCTTGCCTCCTCCTCCTCTTCTGCCTTCGCCTGGGCACCTCCTGCCCGCAGAGCTGCCAGTGTCCCGACCACGATGGGGCCGTCGCCGTCCACTGTAGTGCGAGCGGCCTGCAGGAGATCCCCAAGGACATCCCCGCCAACGCCGTGTTCCTGAAGCTCGACGCCAACAAGATCGCCCGGGTCCCCAACGGAGCCTTCCAGCACCTGAGCCAGCTGAGAGAGCTGGACCTGTCCCAGAACGCCATCGAGACCATCGGCCCCGCTGCCTTCTCGGGCCTGGCCGGCGGCCTGCGGCTGCTGGACCTGTCTCACAATCGCATCCGCAGGATTCCCAAGGACGCCCTGGGCAAGCTCAGCGCCAAGATCCGCCTGTCCCACAACCCCCTGCACTGTGAGTGTGCCCTGCAGGAGGCCCTGTGGGAGCTGAAGCTGGACCCCGACTCGGTGGACGAGATCGCCTGCCACACCTCCGTGCAGGAGGAGTACGTGGGGAAGCCGCTGATCCAGGCCCTGGACGCCGGCGTCAGCTTCTGCAGCACCCACCACAAGACCACCGACGTGGCCATGCTGGTCACCATGTTCGGCTGGTTCGCCATGGTGATCACCTACGTCGTGTACTATGTGCGTCAGAACCAGGAGGATGCCAGGAGACACCTGGAGTACCTGAAATCCCTGCCCAGCACCCCCGTGTCCAAGGACCCCCTCAGCCCTGCATCCTAGTGCCCGCTGAGGGCCATCACTCTGTGGCAGGTGGTGACTGACCCCCGCTCCTGGTGTCCCCCCGGCCAGGTGGGAGTCACAGCTGCTTCTGTGCAGTGCACACTCTGATCAAACACTTCCTCCAATTGCACTGAGTCACCGCAATGCCCTTCGAGCCAGGTAATGTTACCATCAGACCCGCTGAGGGAGGAAGACACGAAAGCTTAGAGAACGGACTGACTTACCTGTGATGACACAGGAAACGATCCAGTCGGGACTTAAAACCAGGCTGTCTCTAAGATGTCCCTTCCACTCGAAAGCCTCTCCCGTGTGGCACCGTGGGAGTGAACGCATTCAGAGAAGGAGGGGCTTGTGTCCATGACTACGAGTGTCCCCGGTGGAGTTTGGGGTGCAGATTCACCCGTCGAAGGCACAGGTGACCCTACACTGCGGAATAGATGCGCCTCTGCTCCCCTAGTAGTTCCTGAACACATTGGACCACAGAATCTGTCCAGAGCCAAGTATATAGGAGAGGCCAGGAGAGGGAAGGGAGTGAACAACCGTGTTTATTCTCAAATGATTGTGAGGAATAACACTTGGACCCAAATTTCAGTCCGGCGAGAGGGGGAAAAGCCCAAAACCTGAAACCGAAACACCACGGAGAGGAACCTGAGGACAAGCTCGGCCCGAGTCCCACGCGGTCTGCCTGGCTTGTGGGAAGGCCGGTCATCGCTGGTCGCCGCCGTGCCTTGCTTTTCTACTCACCAACACCTAAAGCAGCGCCTTTCAAAGGACAGGACCGATGAGTGATGTTTCCAGGCCAATCAACGGGACTCCTTTTTTCCAACAAGCGCTCGCTCGCGCACTCTCTCTCTCTCTCTCTCTCTCTTCCCTCCCCCCTCCCTCTTTCTCTCTCTCTCTCCACCTTTGCTGCCAGGACTCTCAGCTCACTGAGCGCTCGATTTTCTTATATAGCTACACGTCCAGGGCAGAGGTTACCTTCACCTGTATGACTCTGATTCATCTTCCCAGTTTTGTGTTACTGTCTTTTGTATGAGTGTTTATATTTTACACGACTTTGAATATTTTTGGGGGGAGCAAATAGGGATAAATTGCTATGAACTGAAGGTATAAAGGGCAGGAGCCTCATCAAGCAGAAGCTCAGAAGCGATGAACGATGGCGGGTGGTTGGTCCTTGGAAAGTTCCGAGTGACTTGACGTGGGAAACGAATGTGGGGTCGCATTTACACGCTGATCCGGAGCCCCAGCCGCTGCACAGAGACCGAAAGGCTCGTCCGAACGCGGCGGTGACTTCTCAGTCACGGCGCATTAACAAGGACCCGCCTAGAGGTTTCAGATACCCTCCCACACCCTAAGGCGCTGCGCCCGTGTTCACGGGGTGGGGGTGGGGGGTGCACAGCACGTGCAGGGTAAAGAGAGGGGCTCTCCGCTGCCCACTGTCCAGAGTGGCTGTGGGAGGCAGGGCTGACTGGGCCATTGATGCCCACCTGCTGCTCCACAGGCCGCCAGCCCACAGCCCTGCCCACCTTTCCAGTGACAACTAAAACCAAGAAGTCTGTCCACGTGTGTGGCAAAGGCTGTGTGGAGCAGGTAGGCTCCGCTGCTGGCTGACGGGCAGGACACAGCCTCCTTGGGTGATCTGGGTCCCCTCCCCCCATCCCATGTGCCCTGGTGGGGACAGGGTCCCACCCCACAAGGAGCTCACCTCCTGTGGGCCTCCCTGATGGCTGTGACCCCTGGGTCAGGGGAAGAGAGCAGCACAGGCCCAGGGGTAGAGGGGAGTGTCAGGATCCTGCAAGGCCTCTTGTGGGTGCTGCCAGCCTCAGCACTTTGGGGGGCCCCTCCTTGCTGCTAGGGACTCCATTTGCTCTCACCCCCAAATCAGCCAGCGCCTGATGCCACCACACGTGGCTCTTCAGGGGGTGCATGGAGAGTAGGTGGGCTTTCCCCCTCCCCACCCCTTTGCTGGCCCCCAGCCCAAGGCCACCTTCCCTTGGTGTGGACCCTGTGGGGCCGGGAGGTGGGCGAGGACCTAGAGCACTCAAGGGCCCTCTCCCTCACATCGAGAGCCGTCAGGGGCTGCCCACCTCCAGCCTTTTGGGGCTCCTCGCCCCTCATGGAGTCTCCTAGGGGAGGATGCCTTCCTCCAGGAAGACCCCCAGGACCTCAACTCCAAGACCCCCAGCTCCTCCCTGCTCATGGAGCTCCCAGCCCTGGTGCCTGAGAACGGTTTCAGGGCACAGCCCTCTCCTCTTCTCTTTTCTTCTCCCCCTGCCCCTCCTCCTTCCTCTCCCTCCAGGAACCCCTTAGGATGATGCCCTACCTGCACCCCCACATTCTTTGCTGCCATATTGAGTATGGGCCACTGGGTGCCCTCTGGGCCCTTGACTGACGCAGCCTTCTCCACCCCACCCCACCCCACACCATTGGGTCCAGTGTTTGACCCCATCTTACATCTGTAGAGACCGGGGTCAAGCTGGCCCCGTCCAGGGGACCAGTGTTGACAATGGTGGTGACATGGCAAAAGGGGTGCCTCCGCTGGCCCATTCCCCGGCTCTCTTTGCCATCCAGGTAACAGGCTCTTCACAGGGCCTGGGGGTCCAGGCCAGACAACTTTGGGGTTCCTCATGGGGTAGATGGGTGTAGTGAGCAGAGGCCCCTGGGCACCCGCATGGGCGCTGGGCACCGGCCCTGCCTGCTGGCTCTCGTGTGCTG